AATTGCCATTGAACTCACAGATTATTTATTGAGATAGTAATGGGTATTCCCTATCATTTCAATTTAATGATGTTTTAAACTTACACACAGTATTTTCTTTAATTAGTTTATCTAGTATGCTTATGATATGTCAGCTCAGGGTTAACTTAAGGTCACTCATGATCCCAGGTCCCGTGTACGCATCATGGGGGGTAGCCTCGGGGCTTGACAACCTTTTCATGGATAACTTGGATGGGATACTTAATTGTACCTTTCCATGGATAGCTTGAATTGGATACTTAATAGTACCTTTCCATGGATAGCTCGGATTGGATACTTAATTGTACCTTTCCATGGATAGCTTGGATTGGATACTTAACTTTACCTTTCCATGGATGTCTTATGACTTATCTTGGATTGGTTATTAAATGATATCTTTCCATGGATAGCTTGGACTAACAAGATGATGTGCCCTTCCATGGATAATAAGAACAAGTTAAGAAAATAACTACTTCCCACATTAATAATGAACTAAGGTTACTTCAAGAAGTATCTCATATGTGTTCAAAGGATTTAAAGATGTTAAGCTTGCATTGACCATGTTTTATGACTTATGTTTTCTAAACTTCTTATATCATGTTTTAGCTTTGTCAATTGCATGTTATGAAATGTCCCATTTTATCACGACTTAAATGTTTTATGCATGGCTATCATACTTGGTACGTTGTTTTGTACTAACGCATAATCATGCCTACATTTCCCTGATTGTAGTGTCTGATATTCAAGGTTCTCAGTTTCGTGGCTAGAGGTTGACTAGGTTGATTTTCGAGCTTGGTGAGTCCTCATGCTTCGAGGATGGATTTTCATTGTTCCTAGTTTCCTTCTTATTTTTAGTTTTGAACATAATGTATAGGCTAGGCCAAATCTCATTCTATTGTATTAGATGGCTATTGAGACAAAGTGTTTTAGACTTTCGCTTTTCTTTATAAAATGTTGGACTTGAAATGTTGTATTTACTTCTTATGTTCTATTTTATGTGTTATGAATGCTAAGTGGCTTGTATGGGGCCTCTCGGGGTCCTATACGCCATGTTACATCTAGGAGGTACCCCTGGGTTGTGACAAACTTGGTAACCAGAGCACAAGGTTTAGAATGGTCCTAGGATGTGTCATAAGCCACGTCGAGTAGAGTCTTGTTCATGAGTGTGAAGCGCGCTACATTTATGAATTAAAGGCTACAAGATGATTAGGAAACTCCACTTTTTTCATTACCATTAAGTCGTGCGATAAGTTTAACTCTATAAGGTCTCTTTCCTAATCCTTACCCGGTGCTCTACATGATATGACTACTCGAAGAACTTTTGCTAGAATGAGTGAGAGAGACAATATGGAACAAGAAGCTCCTACCCAAGTTTCTCAAGCTCCGGCCGACCCTTTGGCCGAGCAAGTGACTAATGTGGAGTTTATGGCTGTTTTTCTAATGTGGGATCAAGTTGTGACGGCCCAGGCCAATAGGAAAGTTGTGGGCTTCATGAACCCAAATATGGGTACGATGGCACATAGAGTGAGGAACTTCACCAGGAGTAATCCTCTGAAATGAAGGTCTAAAAAACTAAAAAGGGCAAGAACCGAGGATAGTAATTGTAGGTCCGGTAGACGTGGTCATTCAAGGTCTCGACGAAGGATTCCTGGGCAAGGTTCTCTAAATAATCCTTAAAGGTTTAACAATGAGAGAGTGTCTAACCCTAAGCCTCAAGGAGGAAATAGTGTGGGTCTTTATTTCCCAATTGTGCTAAGTGTAGAAGAAAGCATGAGGGAGAATGCCTAGCGGGTTCCAATGCTTGTTTTAGTTGTGGTAAGATAGACCACAAGATAAGGCATTGTCCTTCAATTGCTAGGGATGAGGGAGATATTCATCGTAAGGCTCAACCATATCCTTCATTCGGTCCAAGTGGTTCGGGTACTAATGCTCCCAAGCAAAATAGGTTTTATGCTCTTCAGACTCGTGGTGAACAAGAGAGTTCTCCCGATGTGGTTACTGATATGTTGAAAGTCTTTCAATTAGATGTTTATGATTTACTTGATCCCGGTTACCTTGTCTTTTATGACACTATATATGGCTATGAGATTTGATGCGTTGTTAGATCCTTTTCCGGTCTCTACACCTATTGGTGATTCTATGATGGCTCAGATGGTCTATAGAAAGTGTCTCGTCTACTTATTCCATAGAGTTACTTTAGTTGATTCGGTAGAGCTTGATGTGCTAGATCTTGATAGTATCGTTGGTAGTCAAGTTTCAGCTCCCGAATGAGCCTATCCTAGAATGGAAGGGGGGAAATTCTATGCCAAAAGGTCGATTTATTTATTGTCTTAAAGCTAGAAAGATTATTTCTAAGGGTTTCTTGTACCATCTAGTTAGGGTTAAGAAAAATGATATTCCAAAAATAGCTTTAAGAACCCGGTATGGTCATTATGAGTTTTTGGTGATGTCGTTTGAATTGAATAATTCTCCGATGGCATGCATGGATTTGATGAATATGGTGTTTAGATAATACCTTAATATGTTCAGTTAGTAGACACTACCAAGGGTGGTGTTATAGTTCACTATAGTTTAGAATCGTCTCTAGTGACGAATGTGAAAGCTAAGTAATGTCTTGATCCGACCTTAGTAGAATTGAAAGAACCGGTGCTTAGGAAGTCCGTAAAGGCTTTCTCCCGAGGGGGAGATGGTGTGCTTAGATATCAAAGTCGTTTGTGTGTTCCCCATGTTGATGATTTGAGGGAAATTGTAAGGTTGCACGGAGTGCCTTTGTCCATTATTTCTGATCGTGGGGCCCAATTCACCTCTTAGTTTTGAAAATCTTTCCAAAAGGGTCTTGGTACTCGGGTTAATCATAGTATGGTCTTTCATCCCCAAACCGATGGGCAAGCGAAGCGTACTAATTGTACCTTTGCATGGATAGCTTGAATTGGATACTTAATTGTACCTTTCCATAGATAGCTTGGATTGGATACTTAATTGTACCTTTCCATAGATAGCTTGGATTGGATACTTAATTGTACCTTTCCATGTATAGCTTTGATTGAATACTTAATTGTACCTTTCCATGGATAGCTTGGATTGGATACTTAATTGTACCTTTCCATGGATGTCTTATGACTTAGCTTGGATTTGTTATTGAATGATATCTTTTCATGGATAGCTTGGACTAGCAAGATGATGTGCCCTTTCATGGATAATAAGAACAAGTTAAGAAAATAACTACTTCCCACATTAATAATAAACTAAGGTTACTTCAGGAAGTATCTCATATGTGTTCAATGGTTTTAGAGATGTTAGCTTGCATTGACCATGTTTTTATGTTTTTTAAACTTCTTATATCATGTTTTAGTTTGGTCAATTGCATGTTATGAAATGTCCCATTTTATCACGACTTACATGTTTATGCATGACTATCATACTTGGTACATTGTTTTGTACTAACACATACTCTTGCCTACATTTCCCCGATTGTAGGGTCCGATATTCAGGGTTCTTAGTTTAGTGACTAGAGGTTGACTCGGTTGATTTCTAAGCTTGGTGAGTCCTCATGCTTCGAGGACGGATTTTCATTGTTCCTAGTTTCCTTCTTATTTTCAGTTTTGAACATGATGTATGAGCTAGGCCCAATCTCATTCTATTGTATCTGATGGCTATTGAGACAAAGTGTTTTATACTTCCGCTTTCCTTTATAAAATGTTGGACTTGAAATGTTGTCGTTACTTCTTTTGTTCTATTTCCTATGTTATGATTGCTAAATGGCTTGTATGGGGCCTCTCGGGGTCCTATACGCCATGTTACATCTAGGGGGTACCCCGGGTTGTGACAAAATGTTTGGAAGTAAGGGAGGATAATCACTCTCAATCAATATACCATAAATGATCTTTAGTGGAAACTAATTAATGACAATAACTTGATTGTCGCTAAAAATGTATTTTTAGTGGCAATTAACACTTTTTCTAAATGTCCCTAAAGCCTTTAGCGACATTAGATCCAATGACAACTAATTACTACCGGTGCCTTCTTTGGTATTGTGTATATTTATTGCCGCTAAAAGATATTTTTATTGTAGTGATCCACTCAATATTTTTTTAAGACAAGTTGAGAAAATGTCTTGACTCTACTTGCTTACATATATCAGTCACTTAATTTGAAGACAAGTAGACTTCTACCAACTTAAGTTATATTTTGGCCTACCAAAAATATCTATAATATCCATATATTTACATGACTTTTCTAGCATGTATCTCGTTTGGAAAATGTATAATCGTTTAATTCAATTTATTCTCCTTTTATCTAAATACTTGTATTCAACCATACAATTCTTACATTAATGTCCTAAATACATGAGTTAATTAAATTCAGATATCATACAAATCATGAACTCTTTTCTTTCCCAGGAGAAGATCCACATATTTCAACAAACTTTTGAATACGATATTATTTGTAGGCTCACAATCAACAAACGATGGTACTAAATAAAAAGTAAGAGATGTAACATTTTATACAAGTATAAGAAGACATAATAAATTTGAAAAATAAAATAACAAAACATACAGTGCTGAAATAAATAGTATAATTGTATATGAGCATGTGAAAATTGGTTGTTGATAACAAAAAGTCACGTGCAAGCTTATTTACATTTACAACAAGGAGGTGAGACTACTCTCTTTGTCTCATGGAAAAAGAGGGTGGTGAATGGTGATAGTTGATATGTAAGAACAGGGGAAAAACGTCCACACAAGTGACATAAACACAACATAATTAAAATGTGCAAGTTGCTAATCCAGCCAAATTGTATAGTTATACAATATTTTGGTTGTAGTATTTTCGAGGCATTAACTTTGGTCATGCTTTATGCTAGCTAGAGTTCCTTGAATGGGCTACTGCAGTTGTAACCTGATCATGAGTGATGAGTTTCAATCAACACATGCATTTAAATATTGTTTGAGTTATCTATACATATAGAATTTCAGAGAATATTACCCCAAACTAATTTCGCATTCTTGTACTGCTCTATTGACATTTAGTTGTAATGGAACACTACTTGATTCCTTTTCTAAAGTATGTACACTGCAACTTCCTTCTTCAAATTTTATCTTGTCAGTTTCTCCATAAACCTGATCAGAAAAAAACAATTATTTTAATTTGTCCTTTCACACAATCCTAATATGAATGAAGTAGAAAAGGCATCTTTAATTTGTTTTCTAATATAGTAGTACCTTGTTATGAAGTTGTCTATTTTCTTGGTGGATGAGAGTTACCTTGTTAGACAATTCCACATTTTCATGACCAATAACAGCACTCTGCAAATTAAAGTATTGCAGGAGTGCTTAGTATTTACAAATATATATCAATTTTTTTTTTGGGATTGGAGTACTAATTAATATCGATTGCAAATTAACCTTTCGATTTAATTCTTCTATCTCATCAGTTAACATATTTTCCTGCACAAGTGTGATCGTTGAATCTTGATGTTAAATAAGGCATAATACATCTCATCGATATTTATGTATTATGCAGTTAAATTGGATACTCACCTTCTTAATGCGGATATTCTTCAAACTCATCTCCAGTTCATTTTCCAGATTGTGAAGATCGCTTATTCTCATGCCACAAAGTTCTCCCCCCTTCAATCTCCTGCAATATTTTTCTTTGTAATGTACACATTTTGTACCTCTAATCCATCACTGCCTAATTTCTTCTTTCGTAGGTCTTTGCTCATAATCAAACACAATCAACATAATAACTACTTTTGATTTCACTTTAAGTTGACTTTTTGTCTTAAATATGCCTTTTAACTTGGTTTTAGCTCATATTTATGCTCTCCAACTTTGAATGTTCAAAGTAAGCACTTAAACTTGTATAAAGTTGAACAAATAGTCACACGAGTCCTATGTGACATTCTACATGACAATTTTCATCCTACGTGGTGTCATTTTAATATTATGTCACGTATCAACTCATGTGTCTATTTGTTAAAATTTATACAAGTTTAGGTGTATACTTGTGCGAACCCAAAGTTGGATCGTTAAAGTAGAGTACATCCTTTTCTACACAAAGGTATGATCTTTCATATAAAAATTCACCTAGTTTTTAAATGTTCTTAATATTTGTGACCACAACCAAGGTTGAATAGAATTATCTATATGCATGGTAAAAAATGGTTAGAATGTCATGTTATAATTACTATTTTCACTTATAAGAATTCCACTAAATATTTTGACATAATGTGCATATACATTAGAATAACTGCACTAAACATAACTTCGTTAGATGAGGGGGATTATGGATGCTCTTGGCAAATGTAATTTGTGAAATTACCAGTAATTTTCTTGAAGATCATCCAATTGTTGTCTCAGCCTTTCTACCTCCGTTCGCCAGAACTACAAATTAAGAAAAAATAGTTGTTCACTATTTTTATTAACAATATTATTGAGTGAAGCATTTTTTTAATCTTATTTATAAATATTTTTTTGTTAAATTGATTAGAAGTAGTTCACTTATGTCCACCCATGTTTGACTATATTTATCTTTCTTAATATACATTCCTTGTTGCTAGTTCTACAATTATGTTAATTGTTACCTTGGAATAGTGTTTACACTTACCAAAATAGCTATTGTTGACTTACTAACACAATTAGCCTATAATTATAACATACTAACATAATTATTCAAAATGACATTATGATTAAGTTAAGTTATGCAACTTTAATGTATTTCTGTCAATTGTCTTCTGTTAAGATTGGACATGTGGATAATGAAATTTTATTGAATTTAAATTTGTAGAATATAAAGATTATATTAAATTTAAAATATATTAGTCTAGATAAATATGAATTAATATAATTAAATAAATTATTTAAGTCCAATCAATATAAATTCAATCAAAGTCCAATTTCATTCGTCTAGCCCATTAAAGTCATCTTATCCTAGAGGTCTAGTTTGATGTCACGTGTCAAATGGTGCGGTATGCCAAGTAAATTGAAGGAGCCAATAGGATCATATTGTATATCAAAATGACATAGCATATTGCCTAATCAAATCAAATGTCAATGAATATACACCATATGAACAAGTGACATGTTCTGACCAATCAAATGTCACCATATATATCAACTTCAATCTGATTGGTCGAAAAGAATTTATCCTCATCACAACTCTTCTATTCCACAACTATAAAATGAGTCTTCATAATCTGAAAAAGACACTAGAATTCTAACAATAAGCCAAAGAGAGCTCATGGATCAAATACCATAATTTCACTACAAGCTACAAACATTCATGCACTCAAGTATTTCTCTACTAGTTCTAGAGATCAAGACAAAGATTCAACATCAAGATCAAACACCCTTGAATTCAATCACAAGTCAAGATCAAGACCATTAGATTAAGAATCAAGCTTCAATTCCTTAAATTCAAGTACAAGTTAAGATCAAGTTCATCAAAATATAGTATCAAGATAAAAATCCTTTGTATTGGGATTTAGCAAATTTTGATGATTGACAAAGAAAGATGAAACACGTCAGTCAACATGGTCCATAGGTACACTGTCATGAGCAGTTGAACTCTAGAAAGCTTTCAAAACAAATAAAGACAAGAGTGCAGAAATAAAGAAATGGATAATGTTAATTTTGTGATAAAATGCAAGGAATCAAACTAGTGATGAATTGAAGAAAAACAATCAATGAGTTTGATTTGAAGAAGGAGTCTGAAGAGGCAAGGAGTCTTACTTGAAGAAGGAGTCTCACTTGAAGTAGAACTCTTCAAGTTACTGCTGAATTGAAGAGTTGTATTTCGACTACAATACAAAAGAATCAATGAATATGATTTGAAGAAGGAGTCTAAAGAAGCAAGGAGTTTGAATTGAAGAAGGAGTCTTACTTGAAGTAGAATTCTAAGTCAAGAGAGTTCAAGTCAATGAAGCGTTTGAAGTGAACAATAACTCTATGAAGAATTGTTCTTAAATAGAGGCAAAGTCATCTAGAGTACTTGTGCACTTATAGAGCAAAAAGAGCAATTGAAAAATTGACTTCACAAGTGTGACCAGCGAACTGAAGGAACACATCGAAGAACCTGGTCCTTTTTTCCAGAGTTTATGTGCTAGGAGTTTTTCTTTGTTATTGAGTCTTGAAATACTCTTAGTTCAGTGAGTTATAAACTGAATTAGGAGTGTTGTCTTCAGGTTGTGATAACTCAAAGAATTGGGAACACATACCTTAGGATGTTTGTGTTGAAGTTTAGGATTTAGAGTTAATTCTTAGGATTACAAGAGTTGTAATCTGAATTCATAACTTCAAGGTTAGGAATTAGAGTTAGTTCATAGGATTGCAAGAGTTGTAATCTAAATCCATAATTAACTTGAAGTTAAGGAATTAGAGTTAATTCCGTAGGTTGCAAAGTTTGTAATCTATTTTTTGTGGAGACTCAGTGATTTAGTGAAGTTGGAGTTAAATCTTATAGGGGTACAGGTCGTGATTTTTTACACCTTTTGAGCCAGGTGTTTTCAACGTAAAATACTGTGTTATTGCTTACTGTTCTTACTGCTTTGTTGGAACACGTTAGGCAACCTATTTCACACTTGGGTGAAAAGTTAAAATCAGTAAACTACTAGGTCGTGCAAAATAACAATTTGAATTTATATTGAGAAAGAAGAATTAAAGGATTCCATTGAGATTGTAGAATCACTATATTTTAAAATCAAATACTATGATTATTGCAATATTTTTCAATCTTAATTATTATTATTTTTCGACGCAAATTTTACTATCTACATGACCCTTCTTAGTCAAGTCCTATCTAGATCCGTAAAGAGCAACATTAGTACAAAATTACCTTGGCTTCTATTGAGGGTGTCAACAAGCGATGGTGTTCCTTTTCTTCATTATATCTTTGAAATATTGATTCCATGCTAAAAAGAACAAGCTAAAACATTAGTCAAATGTACATGTATAACTCTTGCCATGTATTTGATTTTCTTGAATACACAATGCCAAGATAGACGAAATGCAAAAACATATGCTATTTGGTGAGGAGATTAAGAAAATTATATCTTGTGGAGACATTAATAAGAACTTCAAGATTATACACTAAAGTTGATATGTAGTTTCAAAGACTATGTTAAAGTTTAGACCATTTTACAAAGGAAGACTAGTTTTTTGTCACCTCCTGAATAGGAGAGAGGAAAAGCTTGTTAAAGCCTATAAGCTTATATTGGTGGGGTTGTTCTCACATGAAAAATCTTCAATCGAAAAAATTCTGCATGATTTTACAACTAGGTATCTGCTACAAATTAAGAATGGTGAAAGCAGGCATTACAATTGGAAAACACATATTCATTTATTTATTCCATAATAAAAGAAGATTGTTAGAACATATATTTATGAAGAAAGCTACTAATTAAGGGCTATTTTATATTCAGGACAATATGCTTCAACAGAAAGTCAACATATAATGGAATGAAGAGGGAGATTCTTGCACAAACTGCTTCTTCAGCTCCATTAAACAGAAAAGAAGCGGCAATGCATTATTTCAATAACCTATTCATTGAAAAAAAGAAAGAAAATTCCTAATTTTGGAGTTCTCAAGCACATAGATAGAGAACCTTCTAGATTTGCACAATTTAGACCTATAAGCTTATCTAATAAGATTATTTCTAAGATCTTGGCTATTAGACTGAATAGTTTACTTCCTAAGTTATTATCCGATAGTCAATTGATGAGTGGTAGATTTGCACTCAATTAAGATCTATTTAACTCAATAATCAGTATCCACGATACCTAAATTTGCCATATTCTAATGATTTGCAACAATGAAGGTAAATGGACAAGGCAAGGATTGATGTTTCAAACAATAGCCAAAAATGTAAAGAAAAGTGCAAACTACACATTGTTGATCGCCTAACAAGAAGGGCGATTGATTTAAGTGTTATCATCAATCAAAGTTCATAAATGATAATATCTTACTAACCGAAGAGATCATTCATGGTATTAATTAACAAAGGTAATAAGCCTAATCTTGTTTTCAAATTAGATATGAAAAAAAACTTATGATAGAGTTTGTTGGTTCTGCACAATCTTCTTTCTTAGAATATTTGGTTTCTTTAAAATCTTTACTGACTTTACGTGGAGATTACTATCGGACGTTTGGTACTCTGTCAGCATTAATGAGGAAAGAAGACATTTCTCTAACTCTACCAAAGGGTTAAAACAAGGTGATCCCTTATCCCCTTCTCTCTTTATTTTAGCTACTGAATTATTATCTAAACTGCTCAACAAGTTAAATGACAGGGACAGATTTATAGCCTATGTTTATGATATCGTATACTTCACTTCATGGAAAAATTACTCCCTTAATACATTGTGAAGGAAATTGAAGAAATATGAAGAGGTGTTAGGGTAGAAAGTTAACAAGGACAAAATCCTGTTCATTACATCATCACAGGCCTTCCGATGGTACTCATAATAGAATCAAAAGAAGAACAAGCTTCAGGGCAAGTATTTTTCCTTTCATATATTCTTGGTTGTCCCATTTATGAAACATAGATAAGATCGGAGAAACTGTTCCTAATAACTTGTTCAACATCATTAAAAAAGTCCCATTTTTAACTTGAACATCGCATATACATGCATATGGACTATAGAATATCAACAATGCTGATGCGTTCACTTTCTTTTCTACAAGAGAACTCACTAGACAAAAGAAGAACATGAATGTTACCTACAAGAATCTGTGGAACGGAGTCCCCTTCAAAATCTATTTCCTTAATTGGAGGATCCTTAAAATGAAGTTACCTTTAGATGACACCTTATCCAGCTTTGGACAACATGTAGTATCTAGATGCAATTGTTGTGTTTCTTCTCATTCTGAGACTATATACCATGTATTTGCTGAAGGTGAGATAGCCAATAGAGTTTGGAACTATTATGCTAACCATTTGTCAGTGAAAAATCTAAGTAACACAGAGATAAATTTTATGAAATTGGTGGGCACATGATAGCAAAAATGCACTATAAAGATCCATTTGTTGCATTTTACCATTGTTTATCAACTAGGAATTGTGGAAGAGTAGAGGAGCAAGAAGGTATGGGCAAAACTCTTACTCTATAAACAAAGTCATTAACTTGATAAATTTTCAGATTAATATGTTGCTTTACAAACACTTTAAACAAATTGATCTTCACTAGTATTTGTGCTCTTGCATATAATTACAACTCTCTTATAACCATCAATACAGACTAATGGAATAGGCCTCAAATTCATCAATACAAGCTCAACACATACGGAAGCTCTCTGTGTAGTTTGAAGAAACCCAGCGCAGGAGGGATTGAGGAAAAAATGATCTTATCATACTCTGAAGCTCTCAAATATTGCAGCAATAACGACGGAGAAATTAAAGGTGCACTGATTGGTTTGAGATATAGCTCCAATCTGGGACTAAAAAATCATAAGTTAGAGATGGATTCTAAGGTCATAGTTGATATGATCAAAGGTAGCAACAAAACATCTTGGAAGTTTGAGAAGACTATCAAAGACATTTAATATTGCCTTAGAAGAACTGGTGGATACGTTCAACACATCTACAGAGAATCTAACAGTGTTGCAAATTTATGTCCAAACAAGGATCTAGTATGGTCTAACTGGTGTCTTCCAAGAGTATAACAATCTTCCAAAGAATTCTATTGAATTATATAGGATGGACAAATGTTATATGGACAATTTTAGGATTGGAAAAAAAGAAAGAAGGCATTATTTAACTCGGATGGAACAAATGATAAATCTGTTAGCCTGACAACATATTCAACATTATTTGAGAGCTTACTAGATAAGTGGCAACCCCTCATCTAGCAGGAATGGCATGTCATTCTAGGCTGGGTAGTTCTTATGGGATTACCCTTTTTGTAACTTTGGTTATAACTATTATATAAATTTATTTATTTTTAAAAGAAGGAAAATCTCATATGTAGAAGAATCTGAACAAATCAAGTTATAAATGGAGGAGGATAGGACATAAAATAAAAATACAAGAAACTCTAGCATATATATATAGGTTGTGAAGCTCAATCAGAGGTCAAGACCATGGTCTGGCAGAGCAAGAATATCAAACTCTTATTATTGAATTCTCCTTGTTTGCACGTAATAGCTCATTCTCTATATTGTTTATGATCTTGATATATTAGGATAAGGAAAATATGATGCAAAGATATTAAAGAGAGCAAGGATACATCGACTCTCTTGAATTTCATGTCATAATATATATATACCCGGACTGAGCACTTGACTGTAATGGAAATAGTTATGGATCACGTTATTTTATGTGAGGAACATACATGTAATAAAGTGGCTAGAAATTGATGTACCGCTGACGGCACATCTAATGCTTTTACTAAGGATGTTTGTGAGAACTTAAGTAATAAACAGTGTCATTTTGATAGTTTACGCTATGATAGTCAGGACAAGTGTGAAAACAGAAAGAAGAGTGAAATGGAGCTAAGTGCCAGAAGAGCCGCCCTGACAGCAGCACTGACGGGTCGTCATCCTTGTGACTGACTGCTAGTTGCCTGGTCAACCATGCAGGAAACCCAGGGTCTCAGTCAACTTTGACGATTACTTCGACGAGCTGTCAACCTTGTGATGAGTCGTCATCACTGCGTCAAATCAACATAAGTTAGGCTTAAGTTGCAGAGTTTATTGATGGCCACTAAGACAGACCGTTACTTCTATGACGGGCCATCACAACCTTCGTCAAATGTACCTAGGGAACTGCACTTTTTATTTTTAAAATTGAATTTTTTGGGAACAATAAATACATTTTATAGGGTTTTTATTTGATCATCGTGTTTTTGAGAGATTATTTGTTTTTATCATTGAAGAAGATACTATTCTTGAAAAGTTTTGAAAGAGATTTTGGAGAGTTTATTGAAATCATTATCGTCAATTGTTTTCATCTCTTGTAAGTTTCTACTTTTCTTGAATGAATACAATTATTGTTTTTATTTCATTTAGAATGAGCAGCTAAACTCCACAACCAAGGGTTGTGGGATCCATGACGACTTAACCTAAAGCAAGGGGATTTATGGACTAAAATTTGCACTGTAAACGTATCTCGTTCGCTCTTTTGCTTAAATCGATTTCTAATGGTTGCAAACATTAGGACATGATCTAGGTTTGACTAGTTTGAGTAAAATAGTGTAAAACTTGGGAAAAGAGTTGATGAAAAAATTCAGGGATTTAAGCCCGTCTAACAGTAATGTTGTAGCAATATTAGCTACTTGAGTCACTATCATCAAATTGAGATAAACACTTTTAGTTTGAGAGAACGAACGTGATATGCAGTTGATGTGGTTGAGAAACTATTAACTGTTGTTGAGGTTGATATACCAGTTTATTACACGGTGGAGAATCTAGGTCTATAATTTACCCAAAAAATTGGTTAGAAAGTCATGTTGAACACAATCCTGGTTAATTCTCCATAATTATCTTAAATCAAGAGTTATTGTTAAGCGTTACATTTTACGAATCGAATTACAACTAAATCCCAAAATTTCCCCCATTTCCCATTTTATTTCAGAAATAAGTACCTAATAGTCAAATAACCGCATACGACTTAGTTCTCACCTTATTCCCTGCGAGATTCAACCCCAACCTTGTTGGTTCTATAATTGACAACAACCACTTTATACTTCTTAATTGAAGTGTACATTTGGGTGTATGAAATTTTGTCGCCTCTGCCTAAGAATACAGTTAAAATTAAGTCAACTATGTGTTATTTCACTCTTAGTCTTATTTCTCTAGGTTCTCTACAGGTGACACATGTGACTCAGGTAGTGTATACCAAACACCAGAAGTAAGAGAATACCTTTAATTCCTTACGATTTTGAGCTTGCAAGGTCTATTAGAAAAATGGTTAAT